CGTGGCCTAGGCTTTGACATCTCAAACCCCACCCCCAGTGACATACTTCCTCTAACAAGGCCAGTCCTCTTAATCTCTCTGAAGTAGTGCCACTTCCTGATGACCAAGAAGCTTTGGACTTGCTTCCTCCTGGGTATGGTGGGAAGCAAGAGTCTCTTTCCAGATGGCTCCTATGAATGTCCAGGAATACTTCTGCCTGTGTGTAGCTCTCCCCATTCCCAAGAGAACACCAGGCTCTGTGTCAACCTGGATCACAGGCTTACTCCTAGAGATGAGTCAAGGATGCATACTGAAAGAACAATGAATATGTGAACAAATGAAAGGCCAGACAATGGTTTTAGGACCGATTTGGATTTTGAGGCATGCAAGATCTAGGTAGATAAATATACTTTTGGCTTCTATGGATAGAAAAATCCTCTCACTTGACATCCAGAGAAACAAAAACAATAGCCCGTGGATGTACTACTCACATGGTCTCCAGTGCAGGGCACACTTACCATCCTGTAGTGAGTCCCAGACGTGGCCCAATGTGCTTATTATTTCTTTACCTAGGCCAGTGCAGCACTCACTGATGGTCTAAACTTCCAGTCTCTCTTTATCTCGAATGTCTGAGGCTAAGAGTGGGCTCAGGTGCAGGGGAGGAGTGGGATGTCAACAGGCAGAGCTACCAGCCCTAAAGCTATGAAATAGCCTGGCCAGAGTTCCTAGTAGAAGGGTCAGATGCATGGCATTAGCATCTGGTAGTTGGAGGTACAGCTCAATGGGAATGGTTAAAGCTGTGTTGACTCAATTGGCTCCTAGGCTCTTGCTGACGGGTTTCTTCATCCTTGGTGCACAGCAGCTCGTCCTTAAATTCCGCCCTTACCATTATACACACTTCTTTTCTGTCTCAGAATGGAAGAAGTTGTGGCCCGCGCGCAATTGTCTCGCCAGCAAGAATGCACGCGGGCACCGGGATCCTTCCGCAGCAAACGTTTATTCCAATGAAACGGAGGAAAGACCCCGGGCCCGGAAAAGGCACTGTTTATATACCCTTGGAGCGGCGTGTTCACTTCTGAGTGGCTGCTTACTCGTTACCTGCCAAAACGCCCTGGGATGGGCTGTGACTTGGCGCTTTTTTTACCATAGCACATGCGCGGTTTACTTGTTTACTTGGAGGAGCACCGGATGCCAGCGCCATCTTGTAATGGCGAATGCTGTCAGCACAAGCCGCGGCTTTCCACAAGAAGTTGTACTACAAATGGCATGGTCCATCCCATCCAGGCTGCTAATTCCTGTTAAGCTGGGTAGGGTGTGTCGCTGCAGCAGGCGTCCTCTCCTAGCTAACAATGAATGTGTGTAATCACCTGCTTGAGGTGCTGGCCATGCGCACACAGTCTTCTCTCCATCTCCCGCCTCTACTTTCCCTTTTTCTTCGTGGAGTTTGAATGGCAAGCCTCCGTTCCCCACATGTCACCATGAGGTATTGAATTAAGGTTTGGATTATCAATTTGTCATCTTGACATGGACCTCACAGAGTAAGGAGTTTGTCTAAGAGGACTTCTGCACTCATGTCAACTTTCCAGATTGATCTTTATAGGACTTTTCTATTAGTCAGCTGCCAAGCCAATACCTGGGAATTTCCCTCATGGCTGTCTTTCCTTCAAGTTCTAATCCATCAACAAGTCTAATCAATTTCACATCCTTTGGGCCTCTTGAATTGCCTCTTGCTTCGGTCTCCTAGCCAAATTGCCTACTTTGTCTTTCTGTCTTCCATTTTCTTACTCCCATCCATTTTCCACGCTTGAGCCAGTGTGAACCCACGAACCCCCAAGCCTGTCTGGTTGATGCCTTTTCCTGGCTTTATTTATCTTAAAGCAAGGGTCCTAAAATGCTGTGTGCAGCTCCAGGACCTGTTTTCTGCCTCTCTACACTCCAGGCTTCCTTCCTAACCTCTAAGAAAATCATTGCAGCGGAAGGGTTGGCTGACAGAGGCCACTACGGTGGCTTTGGTCTCTGAGCCTTCTGGATTTGTCCCTGCAGAGCATCAGGGTACAGTGTGCTATGCTGACATCTCAAGCTGCCTGGCATTGGTTGCTTTGGGGATGAGAGGGAGGAGGGCCTGTGACTTCTAATCACATCTGCATTGAGTTAGTTTCCAAGACTTTCCTCAAAAGCTGGACAGTGGAATGATTCTTTTCTGGATCCCTGCTTGGGTCCTCTTTATTTTGTATCTTGTATACCCTGTCCCATTTATAAGAAATTGTAAAGACAGTTTGGGAGTTTGATGCTAATTCTGAGGTCAAGGTCAAGGTCACACCTCTTCCTTAAGTATAAACTGTGGCTTGGTTGATTCCAAGCTGAGTCACCAATCCAAATCTGTATCTGGGCAGTGTCCGGGACAAATGTTATTCTTGTGTGACAAAAAAGCTCTTTATCCACACTTCTGAGTCCCTTACATAGCCAGCAGAACCTGCTCCCACCACCCCTTGCCAGAAACTGTAAGAAATGATACCAAGTATATTGTTGGATGCCAAAAATGCTTTGCTTAGTGGGCAGCTTGTGGCATCTGCTAAAGCGGAATTTGAATCTCGGCTTCGTGGTCATGACCCTGTGTGAGCTTGGCAGGAGGATTGCCACAAGTTCAGGGCCAACATAAGATACATAGTGAGCAACAGGCTAATCACCTCCCCACCCCCACCACAACAAAAAGAGTTAGACCTTATTTTAGTCACAATTGCTCAGCTTAACCTGCTCAGCTTAACCTTTCTACATGTTCCAGATGCCCACAGTGACACCAACTAAATTATATTTCAATTTTTATTCCTACAATGACATGATAAAAATAAATAGAGCTAGAGAAGGGACAGTGGGTGGGTATGTGTGCATGCGGCTAGCTTCTGTGCTGTGACAGACTTCTGCCTGTGTCTTAAAGAGCACTATGGTTCCTTGGTTTCATAAGTTCAATCCCTGCTGCCCCTTATAGGTTGACAATCATATTCTTGGCAATTAGTATTCCCCAAAGACTAATGTTTGGTACCAGCTTTAATGTTAGAATGTTCATTATGCTACTAATGTTATGCCAGGCATCTGATGTTTATTTATGCCTGAGAAGACATGGCAATTCCATGTGACTTGCTTGAGAGCAGGTAGGCCAGGCAGTTAGTGAGACATTCTTTTCCTATCAGCGGAGACAGAAAAGAGGAGTTAGCATGAGTTGAGGGAGGACTTGCAGTGTGTTCAGAGAGGTACAGGTCTGAAGATATATTCCGTGAATCCTGGATGTCAAGTCTTTTCATTTAACTTTAAATTTTTTATTGAGGATTGAACCCAGGCCCTTGTGCATACTACACAAACATTCTACCGAGGGGCTGAAACCCAACCCTTTAACTTACTTTTAAATTAAAACTTGTATGTTTTGTTTGGGTCTGTGAGTATACTGTGTGTATGCACATTTGCATGTGTATATGAGTACATGGAGGGCCCAGGCTGAGTCCTCCTCAGAATCTCCAGCTTACTCATTAAGCCAGGGTCTCTTGGTTGAACCCAAAGTTTTAGCACAAGGCTCATGTAGCAAGCTAGTCTGTTCTTTGGGTCCCATCTTCCCCTTCTAATTGCCAGAATTACAGGTGGGGTACCTCACTTACCTGGATGTTATATTGAAGCAGGAGATCTGAACTCTAGTTCTCATGTTTGTATGGTGAGTGCTTTACCTTTATTTCCCGTTGGGACAGTATCCTGCTAAGTTACTCAGGCCTTGAACTCAGTCTGTAGCTCATGTAAACCTTGAACTTGTGTTCCTCATGCCTCTCAGCCTGTAGCTGGTCTGGTCTGCACCATTAGGCTTGACTAAGCTCTGAAATATAGATCACTATGTCCATTTCGTGGGTGGGGAAAGCAGTTTACTCCTTGGCATAGCCAGTAATTGGTACCAATTGGAGCCAGGGCTGGCACCGAGGCTCCTCCTGCAGTGTGAATCAAGTCCAGGGCTGCCGTGTCCAGTGCAAAAGAGGATCCTGGACAGCCCGTCTCTCTCTTGCTTTCATCCTTATGGTAAATAAAATGGAGAGTCTGAGCTGTTATTCGTTTGCAAAGAAGTTGAAAGTTTTCAGCAAGTCAGAGGGTGAGGTGAACACAAAGTACCTGGATTCTTTGTTTTCTTCTTATGAGAGAAGAAGAAACATCTTCCTCAGAACACAATTGAAGTAGCCTTCTTAATTATTGTAGCTATCTTCTCAGGAACAGAACTCTGGTTTGGCTGTGATTTTTTTTTTTTTGTTGTTGTTGTGTTTGTTTTTTTTTGTTTTGTTTTTTTTGGTTTTTGGTTTTAAACAGATTGGGACCATGTAGATTCTTCACACATGGTAAATTTGGGGCGAAGAGAGAGACAGGAAACTCTCTGAAGATTGTGGTAATATCTTCCTGGGATCACTCTAAAAATTAGCACCCTGCCACCTTGAGTTTTGAACAGGGTAACTGCAGTGACTTGCACAGCAGGGAGAGCCATGAGTGGATGTTGAGAGCCCATGGGCTCCTCTGCCCTGGTCTGGGCTCCTGTCTCCTGACCTGAGGTGTGTGCTAGTCGTGGACCTCCCAGCACTGGGGCCATGGATTTGAGCCCAGGGAACGTGTGTTTGGGTTTCCTTTTTATCCCCACCTGAGAGCTGCTTGCTCTAGAAGGAGGAAGCATGGCAGCCTGAGCTAATGGCTTCCCTGACCCTAGCAAAGGGCATGGTAATGGGAGCTATCCCCTCTGAGTGTCCAGGCACACCATTCTGGGGAAGGACCTGGGTCTCAGCTAGAGAACAGAAGGGTACAGCTGGTTTGTTCACAGGGGAAAGAGAGAGGCTCAAACACCGTGCAGCTGAGGATGTCGTTACTGAAACTCAGAATTAGCCCAGGGACGTTTGTCATTCTGCTACATATTAGTAATTTCTGTCAAACAAAGTTTTCCTCTTTGCCTATATGCCTCCTCCCCACTTCATTTTACAAAAACAATTATTTTCCTCATTTGTAGGAGATTGTGCCCTTGTTCATCACTTCTGACTTCTTCCCTTGGGGGATGCAGCGGCCACTTGGTAACTACAGGACTTCAACCAGAGGGCAGAAGGGACACCAGGGTTTAAAGGAGGCCCTTCCACCACCACTACCCAGGAGGAATGCATTCACTTCTTCTCCAAAACAAAAGTCTGGTTAAAAGAAACTCTATTTGAAGCATTAGGATCTGTTACGTAATTGTTTAAGAGAATGAAGCTGACCAACGGACATTGGGATATGTGATATCTACACAAACAGAAAATCAACAAGCTAGCCCAAACAATAACTGTTACTCACTAACTCTAACAAAGATGAAACAGAAATAGAAACTTAAGGGAATAAAGAAGGAAGTGGGTGGCAAAAAACCGAGGGTGATAATTTCAGCGTGATTTCCCATCTCGTTCAGCTGTGGGATTCCTGGCAGCCTAGGCAAAGGCAGGGTACTCATGGACACAGAGAGATACAGTTTGACAGGAGTAACAATGATTTCCCTTCAAAGGTAAGCATATTACATTTACCCTTCCTGCTACCATATTCAGACTACACGCATGAGTCTTTCTATTTTTAATTAGGTTATATTCAATGTACATGGGAGATGTCTGAGTTATAATATGAATACCTTGGGGCTGGAGAGATGGCTCAGTGGTTCAGAGTGCTTGCTGCTTTTCCAGAGAGTTCAGTTCCCAGCACCCATATGCCATAGCCCATAACTGTCTATGACTCCAGCTCCAGGGAGCCACGCCTACTTCTAGCCTCCATTGGCATTTGCAAACACATGACTTCTACATACATACACACACACACACAGAAATGAAAATAAATGAATCTTAAAAAAAGAATCCCAGGATGGTATGGGGACATAGATAGGGGACATATAAGGAAGCCATTTTCTTCAGCAACAGCAATAGACTACTCATGACAGGTTTAAGTGACACCTACTAATAGGAAACAAAAGCTGTACCATCAAACAATGCCTGGCTCCAAAGGGACTTTTGGTCTATTTAGCTTTGGACTCAAACATAGACTTACTTTGTGGGGATATGGGAGACAAGTCACTGGTTTTAGAATATAAGATATGGTTACCTGTATTCATGATAGTTGGGGTTCAGGTGGGTTCTTGACAGAGTGATTTCTCATCTCCATCTGTGACGGTAGGAGTCTTCCCCATCCCTCCCCCCCCAAATGCACAAATGCCCTGATAGTCTGTAGATGTCACTTCCAGGGAGGTTTTGATCTCCCTCAGGCTGGGAGCTGTTGTCCCATTCCCATGACCTCCTCCCCTTCAGGAGCCTGGCCCATCTTACTCCCTCAGCAGTCACTTCCTTGGCAGATGGGTCAAGTTTAATGGCCCGTGGGCCTTAGAGAACAGTAACTGGATCTACTTTGGTAAATTTCAGTAGGCTGCCATGACATCTTGAGTTTGATGCCATTTTTAGTGCAAGTACAGTTTCTATGGGAATCTGAGGTCATAACTTTCCAGAAGTCTCATCAGGTAATTTAACCCTTTCAGCTACAGAAAGCTATTGGTGATGTTCAAAGATACCATCAGGAAACCAGCAATTTTTCCTGAAAGCTCAGTGAGGGCAAGACAAGTTCAAGGCAAAGGGGATGCAGACGAAAGAAAAGTCTCCCATTCCATCAGGGTACACTGGACATTCACAGGACCATCAATAAAGCAAAACACATCTGCTGCAAATAGTACCAAGACAATCTTAGAACCCCAGGACCTTATGAGTGGACAGCCCATGGACAAAGAGTTCACTTAGGTGGAGAACTGAGGAACTTGGAGGAGGGGCTTTGGTGCTGGAGTGCAGAAGAGACAGCTAGAGTGTTTTATGTAGGACAAGGGTGAGCCCCCAGCACAGTCTGGAGGTGGGTTTCTAGGACACAGAGGGATGGTCACTGTGGCTCAGTGGAGAGAAGTCCAAGGGCACAAGAGGAGGTGTGAGCAGGAAGAGTCACATGTCTGCAGTTCACACGGTGTCAGGAAGATACTAGAAGATTTTAAGCTAGAGCCCATTGGTTGCTGGGTAAGGAAAAGCTTGGATAAACTCAGAGGGAAGGTAGCGGCAGGATGGAGGATTTGGGTGTCACAAGGCAGAAATGGCTAATGACTGGGAAAGCCAGGCCATGGAGATCAAGTGGGTGTGGGGCAGGGGAAGCAGAGTCCCTGACTAGCCCTATTTTTCTTCTCAGGGTCTGCCTCCATCAGATGAGTCTTTTTCAGGAAGGAAAAAGATAAAGAGCCTGTGTTTCCAGCCATGGGCTTATTCTAGACAGGGAGACAGTCACTTAATGGGTATGATGGTGAATACAGTTACTCTGATGGAATTTTGAATCACCATAGAAACATGCCTCTTGAGTAGTCTGGGAAGGTGTTTTCAGAAAGGTTTACTGAAGACAGAAGGCCAACTCTGGGTGGCAGGTGACACTATCAATGGGCTGCAGTCCTAGAAAGAGTAAAGAGAAAGTAGGTGGAGCTATAGCACTGCGCCCTCTTGTTGATGCTTTCTAATTGTGGATGTCACATCAGGCTTCTACTTCTGCTTCACCTGTGGAGTTCAGGAATTACAGACATACACTACCACACTCAGTTTATATGGTGTGGAGCACAGAACCCACGGTTTTGGTGCAGGCTAGGCAAGCACTCTATCAAGTGAGCTACACCCCAGTCCTGTTCAATCACTCTTAACGTTTTACTGACCTTCTTTCTAGCTCTGTTTTAAGCAACATGAAGAAGCTGAGCATGGAAGCTATTAGCTCAGTATGGTAGTATACACTTGTAACCTCAGCACATGGAGAAGGACATGGGAGAATCAGTTCTGGGTCATCCTTGGCTACATAAGAGGTTGAACGTCAGCTTGGACTGTATAAGACCATCTTACTTAGCAAAATAAAATAACAAAATTAAATACCATCACTACTACCATCACTGACGCCATCACTATCAAAAAACCCAAACCCAGAGAAATAAGCAACAACAAATGAAAGAAAGGCATACAGAAAGAAAATGGTACCTTTGAAGCAGAGTGAAGCGGGACACAAGGAATTGGAGAAATTATGGAGGAGATACGATTTTAAACAGGACATTTGGTGGTGGGTACACAAACCGCAGCAGAGACCAGGGGAACAGAGAGCTCCAGGGCACAGGACAGCTTCAGGGTGCAGAGGTCTTGAGCTTCCTTAGAGGATTGGGGCAGGTCATAGAGCAGTTGGGGAGCCAGGAATAGGCTATGTCATGCTGGGAGAGCTGGGGATTATGGGACATCGGTCAACCTTTAAAATAATACCAGAAAGACAATACCTGTAGAATAGTATTTGTTTCCAGCTACATGGTGTCCTACCTTGTGTCTCACAAGAAATGCATGCCATATTCCTGTGTTCTGAGTGGGACAGAAGGTTCTGGAACAATCTACCTCTTCAGTGTTTTATATTTTGGGGAAAGGTAACCAGCCATTACTTGTTTGTAATGGGAACATGGCTCTTTCCTTTTCTCTATGTAATGCTGACTCTGGCTTTCTACCTTAGGAAAATTAAAGTGTGAATTTGCCACTGGTGGTAGTTCTTGTGTGGGGCTTTCTGTGGCCAGAACTGATGAGGTCCTATCTGCCAGCATTAAAAACAATTCCACTATTTACAGTCAGCCCTCACTGGGATAGGAAGTACATATTACACTTTACAATGTTTTTATATTGGTGTCGTGAGCACTCAGTGTTGTGTGAGCTCTTTAACTGAGATGACCATAGCATAACTTGATTTGGAAGAATTCATATCAAAGTAAACAGAAAGGGGACTGGAGATATGGTTCAATGGTTAAGAGCACTGGGTACTTTTCCAAAGTGCCCAGGTTCAATTCCCAGAACCCACATGGGGGCTCACAACATCTTTCATTCCAGTTCCATGGATTCTGAAGTCCTTTTCTGATCTTTGTGGGCATATGGTATAGGCACACACACACACACACACACACACACACACGCAGCAAATATTCATACACATAAGAATATAAATCTAAAAATTAATTTCAAACAAAGCAAATACCAAGTCGGAATGATCCACAGGCAAAGGAAATAGCCATTTTTTGGTTTAAGAATGTTTTCAGACAGTTTGGACACTTCTAGAAGTGTGACCTGCACTCCAAGCCTCAGATGGAGGGCACCTCCACCATAAATATTTAGCATTTATTGACAACACGAGGCTTTATTTTAAAGGCTTCTGGGCTTACTGTGCCTCATGTCAGCAAACGTTAGCTGTAGGCTTTACCTTTCCAAGAAGAGTTCTGCAGCGGGCCTTCAGCGAGCTCGCACACCTACACGTCACAGATGGCTTTGCTTTATATGAGATGAAACTGCATTTGGTGGAACTGATTAAATATAAAAACACCACCATCTGCCATTTATTCTAATATGAAATGGTTTGGGCAGATGCTGACATCTCTCGTCATGATTGATTCATCCCTGACAAGGGAAGATGCGCTGTGGGTTCCAGCTGCCCACTGCTTAAACAGTGGTGCTTCCCGGAGCCAGTGCCAGCCCCAGCGGTTTGATTTGCACAGTTCAGGTGAACCGAGAACTTCCCTAATGAGAAGCCTCCAAGCACTTCCACTGTCTCTTCCCCTCCCCTCACTTCGCGCCTGTATTGAACTGGGAGAATGTTTTACACCAGGCTGCTGGCTATCAGGTGGCTACTATACCTTCCTGGGGATGGCCAGGGGAGTATAGTCACTGGAAAATAGAGAGTGTATTCACATTTTGGTCTTGAAAGCCTTCAGACGCTTTACACATATGCTGCTGCTGGGTTCAAATTATTTTAAAATTATTTTTCTAAGTGGACAAGAGGGTTTCATTTCAAAAGCTATTGTTTACTGAGAAGCCACGGCACATGGTACCCACTGGCAGAGAAACAGCTGTGTCCGTATTGCTTAAACATCCATGGGTATTTCAATGCCCTTTATAGAGAGGGCTGTAAAGCGTATCTTTTCTGTAGGAATAATTTACTAACATTGTTTTAAACCATTAAAGTAATTTTGGGAAGAAAATATAAGGATCAAGACACTTTCTTCGTGCTGTGGGTTAAATCTCTCTCTATTTCTGATGTGATCGTTAGAGGTGTATTTTTTTTTCCAGAAAATTCAAGACAGAGTGAAACTAACCTCTATCTTGAGTTTATTCTGAGTAACCAGGGAAAGTGTTTATGACTCTGTGTGTGTGTGTGTGTAGGTGTGTGTGTAGGTGTGTGTAGGTGTGTAGTTGATGTTAGGAGTCCTTCTTGCCCATTATGTTTTATATGTACCTTAAGTTTTGAGGTTAGGTCTCACACTGAACCGAAGCTTACGGATACAGATAGGTTGTATAGATTGTGAATGTCAGGGATCTTCTTGTAACCCCCATCATCAACCCAGTCCTGAGTTTGCTGGGAGTTGTTACCATACCCATCTTTTTATGCACTTTCTGGCAATCTAGAGCCAGGTCCTTGTGCTTGATTGGCAGACACTTCACT